TAATAGGTCAGATAATAAGATTAAAGTGTGTTCGGTCTATATCTAAGGAACATAATACATGTGACGATTATGATATGAACTTGGAGGAGATTGTTGAATTACCAGATAGATATGCATAATAAATTTTCACAAAAATACTAAATATAATTAACTATTTCGGAAGACATAAGATTTGATTGGAATATAGGAATAAGCAATCAGCTTATGTCTCATTAACTGCAAATGAAATTAGTTTCACATGAATCTGTATAAATCCCCAGAAGCTCTATGCGTACTCGATTTGCGAGAGCCACGCCCTCGTTACTGACGGTATTCGCTTCATACCTGTAACTTGGTTAGGTTTAAGCTCAAATATGGATCTCTGATATGAAGTCCAATCTGAAAGCAATATATTGATGGTGTTGATGAAATTAAAAAAAAAAATTAGATCCCTGTGTTTCAAAATTGATGGCATATATCCTACAAGGAAATATAACACCATGTTTTATAGATTTGGCTTTCCCCCGTCGAACAGGGGCACAAGAAATTAGCAATTCTAGTTTTGTAAAAATGTTGCATAATCTAATAGATTGTCTCATAATACTTACATAAATACAGCAGTTTCTGGTACTACGACTAACATCTAGAAAACAATGTTTCATTTTTATGCCAAAGAGCTCAAACGATCTTACTGTTGTAAGCGCCTGTCAACACGAATGGTTATAAAATTACGGACGTATTCGACATACTTTTTGTACCTTGGGCAAACTGCGTGGTCATTATCTTTCTATTAGATTTTAGTTATACATATTTTTTTCTTCTTCTCTTGTATTGTTTTATGAAATTTATAACTAATTTTTTACTAAATAAATAACAGGTGTAGTTATTTCTTTCTTATATCAGATTGCTCTGTTAATAGTGTTAAAACTGTAGGCAATAACGGCTTATTATTATAAATGTATACTAATAACTGTCTTTTCTTAGGCAGTTTAACATCATACCTCTAGTTTTTGTGGCGAGAGCTTTGACGCAGTACCAATGACCAAATTAATACCAAGGTCATTCTAAGCCGCCCTTGTAAAGGCGCGCACACACACACGCCCTCACATATACGGTGAAAATGATCTAGTGTTGCTTCATCTGTTAGTACATAAGTGGTGTTAAAGCAAGGATCAAGACAGTCGTTCGATAACTACTGTGGTGCGTTTGTAAATCACTTGGTAATGGAAAGCCTAAATTATTACCGAGGTATGAGATGACAGTTGAAGATAGCCCAGTAATTTCAAAGCACGTTTCCTGCGACCATTTTTTTTATTATAAGAAACGCTATGGATACGTGGTAAGTCATTTATCGGGAAAATAGATAGGTGTATTCTGACAATCTTAGCACTTCTTGATAACCAATAAAAGTAAACTGACAATGAACCATAAGAATAACAAATGGCAACACGTTATTCTCAAGGTCTTGAACATGGAAAGAAAAGTGCACTTTTGACAGTCCAGGAGGTTTCTCTGTTCAATTTCCGAACGCATGGAACGGGTACGTCAATAATTACGAACGCTGAAAATTATTACAAAGTACTAGTACTCTTAGTACGAACGCAGCCCTGATGATAAACACTCAGTGTCAGCTGCATCTTTCCTTCATGTCGCCAGATTGCTACTTGTATTTTCCTTCATATAAGCGCTCTCTACGCCATTTTGAAGGGTCGAGCTGACGGGTGAAGAAACATAGTCACCAGCTGCAACGTCGAATGAGAAGGACCGGTACTAACAGATCTTCCTTCTAGTCAGACTATCTCAAAGCCCGACGTGAAAACTGCATTACTCTAACCAGTAATGGCACTATTTCC